ACCAGAAAGACATTTACTTGCTTGAAGCAAGACACGACTGGCAACATTTACGCTTTCAAGACTTTAAGTCTGTGAATGAATACAACTTTGAAGTTTGTAGAATTTGATCACTGCTTAAGTTCTGTAAAAAAGACTTAACCGAACAGGATTTCTTGAAAAATACCTATTCAACCTTCAATGCCACCAATATTGTCCTGTAGCAACAATATAAGGCACAAAAGTCACCAAATTTTCAAATTTGATATATGTTTTACTTCTCGCTGAAAAGCAGAACCAGCTTTTGATGAAAAATCATCAAGCTCGACCGACTGACTCGAACGCTCTGTCTAAAACGCATACGACTAATTCTAGCAGTCATTATCGACGAAAATCCTGTTGTGGTCGTGGCAAGGGACGATAAAGCACCCTTGTAATATTTAAATAATCAAGTTGACAACTCAATAAACAATGGGTGTTTAATTGAATATTAATATTCCAACAAATATAAAACACTGGCAGACTATTGTTAAAAAGATACAGGCAATCAAGGTCAGACAAGTACTATGGGTTGTCTGATGGTCCTAAGCCGCTCAGTTAGGGTGGTCGAGTCATATTGCAAGAATGAGTGATTTGGATAAGGATGGGTCAAAGTTCTAATGCAATGAGGATCCTTGGTCGGAAATGAATACAGCCTGAAAATGGGGTTGGGTTCAAAGTCCTAACAGAAGTAGGATTGGTCGAGATAAGGCTGGATCAGAATAAGAAGTCCTAATCTGAGTATGGTTTTAACTCGATCGTAAGGAGGATTTGTTGCTATAAATAGAGTGCAGAGTGCATCATTCAACTCCCTTCCAAATTTAACACACAACTGCCCTGCGCAAACCTCTCAAACATCTTGAGATTTTTTATTTTCTTTTTCTGCCAACACATCTTCAGTTTGGATAAACAGCACTGTGAATGCAACCGGCGAACATCTTCAGTTTGGATAAACAACACTGTTGCCGTAGAATCAGCCGACCGAGGAGCACCTTTAGTTTGGATGAATAGCACTGCGTCAAGGCCGACTAGTTACCTATCCAAGTCTCGGTCAAGAAGGGTTTTCGAATCCTTATTGGCATAAGTCATCTTATTAGCCTTCTCGGCGACGTAAGATGTTACAAGTTACTACATTCGGCACATTGAATGCCAAGTGATTTTATGATTGGATACTCACAAGTGACTTTTAGAGTTTGGCATTCTAACGGCCGAACCACATTTACCATCAAGACATATCTTTTGAGTACCTGTGACCGTATAATTTGGAGTCGATTTGACGTGCTTATACTTTTACGAATATAATCACCATGACCGAATCCGGTGCCAATGATTCGTGAGCTTCGCAGAACTAGCAGCCTTGTCTTCAGGCTCTAGAACCCGAAGGCCGATACCTGTTACTTCCTTGACCGCAGTCGTAAGATTAAGAAGTCAGTAGCGCGTTCAACGCAACATCAACAAATTTCACTCCTCGACCAAGCTCGGCCGACAAGTTGGCATGTCCCACATCAACCGAAGGACGTAGTTAGCTCATTAGTTACTTAGCCTGTGCGCCACATAAGTTTTGTAATTTTTAGGGTCAACATGATGATATGTACTTTTTGGTCCTTTAATTTTTACACAGAATTAGGAAGCTTATTGTATCATGCATGCAAGTTCAAGTTCCACAGTCCATTAATCATGCCTAGCCAACTAACTGCCCTCCAAAAACCTGTCCGAATTGTGGCGTATCTTGCAAAGTAATCTCTTGAAATATGTTTACCTTAGGGGGGGGCAAAAAAGAATAGAATCTTATCAACCAAAACAATTCTTTATATATGCTCGTATTACAAGTTTTACTCAGAATAGTTCCAAAATGCAGTATACATTTCTATTCATAAAGAACAAAAATCTAGAATCACTTTACATCTGGCATATTCAGAGCAGAAATAAATCTATAAGAGAAAAATTTTGGTAGAAAAATACTTAAATTGGATCCAGATGCAATATATTCTCAATAAGAGAGCATGTCTTTTGAGATTTATCAGCATTTCAGATTGATTTTGGCTGCAGCAGAGTGCAATTCTCATGGGCTAGCTGTGAAATCCCGTTCCCGGATTTCACTGTTATAATCTACACATTGTTATTATTGAAATTTTATGTTATTTTTGGGAATTTATATTAATTTATTTGAATTTAGATTTTAATCAAACCAGTTGCGAAATTTGAAGTTTGGAAATTAATTATTTAAAATCCGTAAATCTTTCGAGGTCACAATTTATATTTTTGAATAGAGCTCGATCTCACCAACGTATAGACGAAAGCCGTTTGCGAGTCCGGATTATAACGGTATAATTATGGACATTTGAAGTTGGTTATTTAAAGGTAGTTAAATTATTTGAACTCCCACTTGTAGGAAGACTAACTAATCAGCCTTAAGTAAAGAGAGAAGGGGACCAATCAAATTAAAAGGGGATGGAGGACCAATGAGAAATCAGAAAAGAAGAAGGAAAAAAAAAAGAAAAAAAAGAAGGGGGAGTAGCCTTCCCGTCGACCCACACCCACCGCGAGCTCCCATTTTCCAAGGCCAATTCCGGCCAACTCCGGTAGAGATTTTCGACACCACCACCACCATCTTGGAGCTCTCATTCCCCTCTACAAAACCCACCCATGAACCACCTTGATTAACCACGGTATGTGGTGATTTGAGGCCACGAAAGTCGACGAAAATCAATAGTACTTTGACCACCTTTTTCAATTTTCCGACAAATCGGCAAAGCGAAGGCCAATGTCACCCCTTGGGCTTTGTAGCCCATCATCTCAGAAGAAAATCCCAACCAACCTTGACCCCGTTGGAGCACTGTAGACGACGAATCGACGTGGGGAAGTTTTAGGCACCCGTCAGCTTTATGGGTAAAATTGACCCCCTTCCGTCCACTTTTGGACTTTGTGGCAGGTATGAAAGTTGTTTCTCTCTTTGAGATCTCCATTCATGTAAATTTTGTTAATTTTTGGAAATAGTTGGATTTTTCAGGCGAGTCGGGACGACCGACTACCACCCACGGTGGCGCGTGCAGCGGCACATGGCCAGGGGGCCGTCGATGTCACTCTTAGGCTAAATTAGATGCCTTGAGCTCAATTTTGGTAATTGTATGACATAGGTTGATGGTTGGAACTTAAATTTTTTACGATACGTTAATTGGTAAAAATGTGAATCGACGATCCGACCGTTGGATCGTCGCCAAACTTTAACATATGTGATATGGTTATTACCTTGATTTCTTATATTGATATCACCTGTGAATATGATTTGGTTTTATAATGTGATTTCTATTGAAATGTGATATTATATATATATATATATATATATATATTTAGCCATAGACCTATGTTTATTAAACATGATTTGGCTTGTGTACTGATGATTACCGTGATATGTGATTTGGCGTGCATATTCGAAAGGTGGTTGATTTACATAAATGGTATGATATGATGAAATGTGAGTGACTTTAATATATGTGAATATGAAATGGTTTTATAGTTATGTTTCCTATAAATTGTTAAGTTTTATATTTAGCCATCAATGTAGTTATATGAAGTGGGATTTGATGTGCATATTGGAAATATGGTTTGTTTGTATGATTGGCTTGATTTGATGAAAGGTGAGGGCTAGTGGTGGACCGTTAACCCATTGTCATGGGGTTTGTTATTTCGAAACATGTGTCAACGCTCGTTTCATTATTTCATTTCTTGTTTCGTTGAGCTTTTATAACTTGAGTAACTTGATTCATGTGTTGTTTCACTGATTGGTTGTTATGCAATGTGCTCCACGATTCCGTTGAGTGATGGTCCGGAATCGTGTCCTGGTTCGGATTCCGTTGAGTGGTGATCCGAAATCCTTCCTACTCCACTCCGCGATTCCGTTGAGTGATGGTCCGAAATCCTTCCTACTCCACTCCGCGATTCCGTTAAGTGATGGTCCGGAATCGTATCCTAGTTGGGATTCCATTGAGTGATGGTCTGGAATCCCTCTTACTCCGTGATTCCGTTGAGTGATGGTCCGGGATCGCATCCCCCTTGGGTTTCATTGAGTTTGGATTGAAATAGCTTTAAAGATGTAGACTTCGAACGAACTGTGTCGCTCTAACCCTACTTTTCATTGTGTATGAGAATATGGTTGTGAGATGTTGTGATTGTTTCAAATGAACCGTTGGATGTTTGGGTGACCCCCTTGGAGTTTTCAAAAGTTTGGTATTGATTTCTTATGAATGATTTATATTCAAGGTTTATAAATTGTGATTGATCGCTGGTTTTATTATTGTATCACATGCTTATATTATTGTCACTCACCCGAGCCTCGCAGCGTATCTGAGTGCCTGAATTGCTAGTGCACCAATCCCATAATGTAGGCATTGACTTTACATATGACAAGTCTGGGTAGATTACGAGAAAACCGCTTGATATTTTGGTTCCGTTGAGTGGTCCGGAACCCGATGTTGTTGGATTTCGTAGAGTGGTCTGGAATCCTTGCTCTTGTTCATTTTCTTAAGGTGATCTTAGAATCCTAAATTTGAGTGGATAGGAATTACCCACAATAGATATTGTGAATATAAATTAGAATTACCATGTTTATTACTCATAATCCAAGTGGGGAATTATATAGAGTTCCTTGGTTAAATTCGTGAAATGTTTTGTTATCACATTACTTGATTAACGTAATTAAATGCTAAGATTGTGCATCTTGATTCACGAATTGATGAATTGACGGGATTGTGGAATGACGTTGGATATGAGTGTTGTTATTATGATTATTTTAGTTGATTAATATTTCTAGAGAATAATATTGTGCTTTGTTAATTCTTTAATATGTTACATGCTATGAATTGTGATTTTATGTGGGAACGTGATGATTTATGTGATGGATGAAGTGGAAATGTTATTCGTCTTGTGGGATTATTATGTTGGATATCATTGTTATTGTTATGACTAGATTTGTTGCTAAATATGACGAGAGAATATGATTGTGCTTCGTCGTTTATTCTTTGAAGGATTGCACGATATACATTGTGATATTTTGTTGGGACATAACGACTTATGTGATGAATGTTCGATTATAGTGAAATGGTGAACTACGAAGGGCTTGATCCCTATTGAGGATACGTAGGCAGTCTAACGAGGAGGTTAGATGCAACCATAAAATATTTGGAAATTACTATGCAATTTGGACCTTGAGTGGTGATTTATTCATATCCCGGAGGCGGGATATGTTAGATATACGAGTATTGGTGACGTCAAGTGTTGATCCTGGATGTATGTCAGGATCGGGGCGTGACACTAGCACCAAGAAAATCAGCTGCCACAAGTAAGAACATGTCAGAAACCACTGTTATCATACATAAGACAGCATTTTAAAGGAAAATCTTGTGAGCTTGAGCAACCAGATAGATAACGTTGTCACAGAGAAACAATAAAAGAGGATTGCGAAGTTGCCCCTGTCTATACCGCCCAATCTACTATTAAAGCCCAGGCTTGCGACTTATAATCTCTAAGCAGACAAAAAGGAAAAATGAAAAGCTAAGATATAATATTTATATTTCAACTACCTTAGATAAAGCAATCATTTGACACTTATAATTCCAGCTACATATTACAAATCATAGGCCAATGCCTCACAATCTGTCATCCAAAAATCTTAAGTACAAAGATTGATCATTTGTAGCCTAAACCAAAATACACCTTTATCCAAAGTAATCAAGGACAACTACCTGTGTCTGGTTTCATGTCAATACCTCAACTAATATCGCATCCATTTAAACTACAGTAACAACATACTGAACATGGAAATCCATGTAACATTTGACAATATCCAATCAAGCAATCTCTAAAGATCAGAAACAGATTGTAGAAAGTAGAAACCCTATCTCAAATCATTTGCTTAAAAACAGTTAAAAAATTCTCAGTGCCCCACAAAAAGCGTATTGAAAAGTAACCAACTTCTTAATTTCTAAAACGGGAAGGATAAAAATGAGTTCTCAGTTCTCACCATAACCAAAATAACATATCGTTTCAATTTTATCTTGGGTCGATTTCCTTCATCATCATCAGCAGAACCAGTAACTTCTGTAGAAAGTTATAGATCTGTGAGAGAAATGCTAAAGGTAGAGAGAGAGAGAGAAAATCTAGAGAGAGAAGTTGTTGTGGAAAAATGATTTCTATTCAATTAGACAAGCCGTGTGTACAACCAATATAAATAGCTTTACAGATTCTAATAACCGACTATAACAATCATAGCTTAACAGCTAAGTAAAATCCTAAACAGATACATCATTGATTAGTTCTAATTGTATCCTTAACACACCCCCTCAAGCTAAAGGGAGGAAAGCGAACTGAAAGCTTGGAAGTTAACTCAGCAAAGCGAGCAGATGGCAAGGATTTAGTAAAAATGTCGGCGAGTTGAAGAAGAGAAGCAACATGGTGCACACTGACTTGACCAGCAAGAACCTTTTCGCGGATATAGTGATAGTCAATTTCCACATGTTTAATCCGAGCATGAAAGACAGGGTTAAAGGCTAGAGCAATTGCACTCTGGTTGTCACAGAAAATGGCAAGAGTGTGGAGGATAGGAAAAGAGATATCCTGCAGAATTTTACAGACCCAACTGAGTTCTGCAGCTGTATTGGCAAGCGATCGATACTCAGCCTCTGTAGAAGAGCGGGCAACAGTGCACTGTTTCTTTGCACTCCAAGAAATTAAATTGGGACCAAGGAAAACACGGTATCCACTTGTTGATCGTCTGTCAACCGGGCAGCCAGCCCAATCGGCATCAGACCATGCAGTGAGGCATTGAGACCCTAGGGTAAACCATAAACCAGCATCAAGAGTCCCTTTCAAATAACGAAGGATCCGTTTGACCGCTTGCAGGTGAATGATACGAGGGGAATGCATGTACTGACATACTTGATTGACAGCAAATGACAAATCAGGTCTCGTCCAGGTTAGATACTGCACCAACAGTGGATCTGTAAAATGTGGGATCAGAGAGAAGAGTGCCTGAGTGATCTAACTTTGCAGAACCAACAGGAGTGGAGCAAGGCTTGACACCAATCATATCTGTTTTCTTCAACAAATCAAGAGCATATTTGGATTGGTGAAGAAACATGCCTTTAGCAGATCTGTGTACTTCAATGCCCAAAAAATAGTGAATATCACCCAAATCCTTCACAGGAAACATAGTTTGTAACTGAGCAATAAGAGATTGACAAACAGATCGGGAACTACCAGTAATGATAATGTCATCAACATAGACTAAAATAAAGGTGATGGAAGAATCCTGCTTGATGAACAAGCTGGTATCAGAAGAAGAAGAAGAGGAGAAACCCAAGGACAGAATAGCCGTGTAGAATGCTTCATACCAGGCCCGAGGAGCCTGTTTTAAACCGTAGAGAGATCTGTTAAGTTTGCAAACATGGCGGGGTTTTGTGGAATCAACAAATCCCGGTGGCTGGATCATGTATACAGCTTCCTTCAGAGTACCGTGCAAGAACGCATTACTGACATCAAGTTGATGAATGAACCAGTCATAAGAAATAGCAATGGATAACAGAATACGGATAGTTGTGGGCTTAGCAACAGGACTGAAAGTCTCAGAAAAATCAATGCCCTCTTGCTGATGAAAGCCTTTAGCCACTAGACGGGCCTTGTACCGTTCAATGGAGCCATCAGGCTTATGTTTGACTTTAAACACCCATTTGCAGCTGACGAAATTTAAGTTGGGATGAAAAGGAACCAAATCCCATGTGCCAGTGGACTGCAAGGCGTGAAACTCATCCTTCATTGCAGCCATCCAATGTGGATTTTTGGAAGCTTGCAGAAATGTGGTAAGAGTAGGAGCAGACACGCAAGTGAATCAACAGACACAGGAAGAGAATGTTTTGTGGCAGTAAAGACTTTTGGTTTGTGAATGCCAGCCTTAGCTCGAGTAATCATTGGGTGAGAATTAAGAGATGGTGATGGTGCAGGGACAGAGGCCGATGAATTATGAGAAGAAGCAGGTAAGGAAGATGGAGATATCGGGGCAGATAGTGTAGTAAACAGAGCCGGTGAGAGAGAGTCCTGATGTGTAGAATGAGGGAGAGCAGCAGTGACAGATGGAAGTGTACTGGAAGGAGCAGGAACTGGAATAGTCACAGAGGTAGGAGAAAAGGTTGTAGAGGAGGCAGGTTGTGGTGGGTTGAAATCAGAGAACATGCCGTGCTTGAATGGAAACAACTGCTCATCAAACGTAACATGCCGTGAAATATACACTTTATTAGTAACAGGATCAAGACATCTGTACCCACTATGATTAAGGCTATAGCCCAGAAAAACACACAATCTGCTCTTTGCGTCAAGCTTGTTAGCTGAATACGGTTGCAACCATGGATAACAAGCACATCCAAAAGCCTTCAGAGTATGATACCGTGGAGGAGCTTGAAAAAGTTGTTCCCAAGGACTAATGGAAGAAGAATGAGAAGGCAGTCGATTGATAAGATAGACAGCCGTCTGAAACGCCTCAACCCAAAATTTGGTTGCCAATCCACTCTGAGAAAGGAAAGTTCGACCCATTTCAACAACATGCCGATGCTTCCTCTCAGCACACCTATTCTGTTCAGGTGTATGAGGACAACTGAGTTGATATGTAATGCCTTGATCATTGAGAAAAGTTTGAAAGTTCCTGCTCAAGTACTCACCCCCTGAATCTGACCGTAGGCATTGTATGCGACAAGAAAAAAAAGTTTGAACTTTGAGCACAAAAGTCGTGAAAACTGAGTACACATCTGATTTATAAACCATAGGATATAACCAACTGTATTTAGTATAGTCATCTACCAAAATGAGGTAGTATTTGTAACCAGTACATGAAGCAATGGGAGAAGGGCCCCAAACATCAGTGTGCAGTAATTGAAAAGGCCTAGTAGATATACACGGCAAAACAGAAAAAGGTAGCTTAGAAGCCTTCCCCAATTTACATTCAGTACAAACAGATCCTTGAGATATAGAACCTTGAGGTACAGAACGAATGACAGGTAGTTGGTGTTTATTCACAATAGTATGTAATACTTGGCTCGATGGATGTCCCAATCGCTGATGCCACAGATGAATATCTGCTTTATGAACGAGCAATGCCTGAGGAGAGAGTGCAACTCCAGATGTGCCATTTGATGCATCCCAGTAGAAAGGGTACAAACCACCTTCACAGGGGCCCTGGAAGAGCATCCTCCCAGTTCTTAGGTCCTTAATATAGAACCCAAATGGATCAAAGGTCAGAGATGCCCAATTATCATAGACAAACTTGTAGACGGACAGTAAGTTGTGTGAAGCTTTGGGAACTAATAACACATCATTAAGCTTAAAAGTAGCATTTTGAGTTCGAATTAAAGCAGAGCCAGTGTGGGAAATACACAGACCTTTACCATTACCAACAAACAGGTGATCACTGCCGGTGTATGGAATGGCAGAGTTGAGAAAAGCTGGATCAGGTGTGACATGGTGAGAGGCACCACTATCAGTTAGCCAATAGCTCGGTGGAGGAGAAGTAGTAGCAGTCATACCAAATGGAGGACCAACATTGGATCGTTGAGAAGCAAACTGAGAGAGTTTCTCACAATTGAGAGCTTCATGGCCATATTTGAGGCACAATTGACACTGAAAAGATTTTCCAGAGCTGTAATTGGCAGACTGAGAACCAGAGAATGTGGATCGAGGAGATTGAACAGGGCCAAGAATACCTCCTGAGGGGTTATAGTTGTTGCGATTACCTCCAAAATTCCGAGTTTGATTAAACTTATTCCGATTCCGAAAGCGACCACGATGGTTGCCTCTGTGGTTGGTAGAACCAGAGAAACCTTGGTGAGCGATATAGGCATGAAAAAGTTGAGAGGAGGATGAAGATGGTCTGGTCTTGCGTTTTTGAAGAGAAATTTCCTTGCTGAGAAGCATGCCGTGTAGTTCATCAGAATTGACAGGTTCAAGTCGGGTTTCAATAGAGTCAACAAAGGACTCATACTCATCAGAAAGACCAGAAAGAGTATATGCAACAAGATCTGATTCAGAAATAGGTTCCCCAGCCGCTGCAAGTTTGTCAGAAATTTCCTTGAGAGAATTGAGATAATCCGTCATCGAGGAGTCACCTTTCTGAATAGTTTGAATCTTTGAGCGTAAGCTATGAATATGCGTCTGAGATGCACCAGAGAAGCGACGCTCGAGAGATTGCCAGAGAGATTTGGAATCATCAAAGCCAACCGTCAAGGGAAGAAGATCTTCAGATAGAGTAGAATTAATCCAAATCATCAAGATTTGATCTCGTTCACACCAAGCCTCATACGCTGGATTCAGAGATCGAGATCCAGAGGAATCAAGCAGAACTTGAGAAGGACACACATCAGATCCAGTAACAAGCCCTAAAAGCTTGAATCGTTTCAGAACAGGGAGGAAGAGACTACGCCAGGTGATATAGTTGTGACGATTGAGTTTTGTCGCAACCATACCTGTGATGTTCTGAACAGTAATAGATGAGAGCGATTGAACTGACGAATTGGTGACATTGCCATGAGATCCAGAAGAAGCAGCCGGAGAAGAGGAGTGCGCAGCCGTCGTCATTGCAGGAAATAGAGAGAAATTGAGAAAGAAAGGAAGAAATTGAAGAGAATTAGGGCGTAGAAGACGTGTTTGGAAGGCGAGAAAATGCAAGAAAATGCAAGAAAGGGGAAGCGAAGGATCAAAGTCGGTGGACTATGGCTTTGATACCATGTAGAAAGTTATAGATCTGTGAGAGAAATGCTAAAGGTAGAGAGAGAGAGAAAATCTAGAGAGAGAAGTTGTTGTGGAAAAATGATTTCTATTCAATTAGACAAGCCGTGTGTACAACCAATATAAATAGCTTTACAGATTCTAATAACCGACTATAACAATCATAGCTTAACAGCTAAGTAAAATCCTAAACAGATACATCATTGATTAGTTCTAATTGTATCCTTAACAACTTCAGCCTGTGTAAGCAGCCTACCGAATCAGACTCCAGCTCACCGACTTCCAATTCAACTAACCAACAAGCAATCAAATCAAAGTAACCTCTCCTTCCAATATGAAGTAAACCCGTCCCCAGTTTCGGCTTCGCGAACAACACACTCCTTACAAAAACCATACATACACAGTATTATATACGTATCTGCACATAAAGTATAAGGATTTACTGATAGAAACTGACCGTAGTGTTTGACGATGACGAGCTGGGCGATTTTCTTGAGAGAGGAGCTGGGGAGCCTCTGAAGCAGAGGAACGGAGCTCAGGAACTCAAGTACTGCAAAATGCACACACACATAGAGAAGCATGCTCAGCGATTGAGTAGACAAAATCGAAATTAGGGTTCTTTGCGACGAACCTGATTCCGAGTCCATGGTGTGAAATCGGCGAAGTTTGAAGTAGTTTGCCGATCGTTTCACCCGCGAAAATGGACAGAGATGGATTTGATTGGCCAGACAAAGCGGGTTGCTATATACAGTTGATGGTTACGGATCTGATGGGTCGCGGTGTTTTCGTAAAATGTGTTCATTTCTGTGCTAGGGAAAAATGATAGGAAAACGGAGAGTAATGTTATTTTTATTATAATTTTATATCATATTTTTTTTATCATATTAGATGACAGGTGAGTTAGACAAGTTACATTATTTAATTTTAATTTTTTTATTAATTAAAACACTTAAATAATTTTAAGTGGTAGAAGAAAACTTATCGTATACCACAATCATCATTTAATTAACAATCTTTTTATTAATTATTGATTAATATTTTGAAATTAAATACTAATTAATTTAGATAATGTAACTGTGTACATCAGATATTATCTAAAATAGTATATAATTATGATATAAAAATACGATAAGAATAACAGTATTGCAAAACAGATGATGGACCGGTCCCTACTTGATTATTGCTATTTCCGAGGCCGGAGAAAATGACTATGACGTCATTCATGGAAACTTGTTGGCTTCTTTCTAATTTATTTAAAAATTTTCACATTTCATATTGTAATCTAGCATTCTTCTTCATTTGAAAGTTCTTAAGTTCGAATATCGTGGATAGTGAATTTGATACCAAATTAGATTGTTCATTATGTAGTTTAATTAGCCGAACTCTCCATACTCTTAGTATAAAATATATGATTGTATACAAAAAAAAGGAAAAAAAATCTGGAGTTTCTGATGAATTGTATAATTTGATTTAGATGATCTTTTTTCTCCATGGTTGCAAACGATCTCAGATCAAATGAACTATTTTTTACCAACGTTTTGAATCAAATAAATAACGAATGATTTCATTTTATAACAGAGCCAATTATATAACTTGAATGAGAGAGGCAAGGAAACAAACAACAATAACAACCAAACAAACAATCATACACCTCTCACTGGATGCTCATTCTTCATCAGAAACTTCGAATACAATTCCTTACAACTTTGATCTCATCTACTAGATGACCATTCACTCCTCTATCAGCTTCTTCATCTAGAAGAAAATTCTTAAAAAATTATTCACAAGCACTTTTTTATGACATGTTTTTTTTAATCTTGTAGTCGAAATAAAGTTGAAATATTATGCATTCCAATTTACGCATGTGTTTACTAATTAATATTATAATTTATATAATGAAAACGCAAGTGAAAGTTACGCAATATTACCTTCTATAGATGAGAGAAATACATTTGGGATATGAAGAAAAGTCAAAATTTATAAATTAATAGCACAAACAAAAAAATTAAAAATTTCGAAATTTCTTGTGGAAAAAAATTACACTTTGAACTATTTAATAGGGAATCAGTAACAATTTTGCACAAAAACAATCTGAATGGTTAAGTTGATATATCAAGTTAACCACCATTTTCTCCACGTGACACTTCATGTTCTCATCGTTTGCTTACATAAAAATTGGTGTCATGAATTTATGTATGTAGCCCATTGTTGAAGATGAGGTTTTATTATTTTTGAGCTATATTATGGAATTTGGCCCCTGTCTATGTCTTCCGAACCAATTGGCTAACTCACATTAATTGCAGGCCCTTGTCATATCATGTCTCAAGCATCCCATAATTAACTTTATCCAATGAGAACTCGTTTAGAAGTGCATTTAAAATAAATAAATATATTTTTTGTGAATATTTTTCAAATTGATCTTTAATAAAAATTCAAGTGTATCTTGAAAAAGTACTTTAAATGCTTCTTACAAAAAACACATATATGTAATTTCTTTCAAAAAGACCCAAAATCAATTTCTCTAAAATCGTTTTCAGTTATTTTAAAAATATTATTAAACGATCATTGAGTTTGCTAACGTATACATTCCGAAGGATGACATTATCCCTTCATGTTGGAGATGGCCTCACTCACCCTACTTGCGCTCGAATTTCAAACCACAAAACCTAAGATTAGCCAAGGCCCAATCATCATTCAAAAGAAAATTATAGAAATTGAAAGAAAAAATAAATAAAAAATAAAAATAAAAAGCGAGTGATTAGAGGTCATACAAGGGAGTTGAGGAATAAAAGCATTTCCGAGAGTAGATTCTTGAAGCTAACTGAAAAGAAATGAGTTTGACCTGCAGGTACGACCTCTAGCCCAGCACAAACTCTACATTCCTCCATCTCTCTTCTCTCTTCTCTGTGTCTGTATCTGTATTCTCTAATCTTTTATTTTAAATTCATACATACAGATGTATAATACAAGTCCTCTACTTCTCACTAGTACCGCAATCCATATTTAGCACAGTAGAGATTCCCAGTTTTCTAATCCCAATCCCTAAAACCCTATTCAAGGAATCCCATCTTCTTAATCCATAAATATTCCATTTCATATTTCCAGAACTGGGTTTTGGCTAATTGATGATCCTCTGTGGTGGGTTTTCTGGAAGAACCTTAAAAGCATGAATCCTTAGTCTGTACTCCCTATTACAAAATTTCAGAACATGGGTTTTGTTCAGTCCCAGTTTTCCACATATGGGGTTTGAATCCTTTGATCCATATTGGAAGCTCATGCACTTTGAGCTTTAATTCATGTAATATTTCTGATACTTGATTCATCCATTTAGTTCCTGCTTAACTGTTGATGTTTTAGTAAAGAATGTTTCTTTGTTTAATTTATTAGTAGAAATTGAAATTTGATACCATAATCCGCTTGACAACCTTGAACTTTGGGCATCTTAGTTCCCAGTTTTGTTTGTTCAGTTGGTATCCGGATATATTTTCTGTCAATCTGCTCTGAAATTCAACTATATTTTAGAACCCAGGTGATTTTTCACACAAATATAGTGTTCAATTTCGCATTTATAATTTGCTTCAATCTATACCCAAATGTGTAGCTGTTGAACTGTGCCAACCCAACGCAGTAATTGTTTGCTTAGTTTCAATGTTGTAATGGTTTGCTTACTAGTTTTTCGTGATTTCGCATCGAGTTCTTGATATTTGCTTACATTGCTTCGTAGGCGTCCATGTCAATCTGCTGTGGGATTCCTATCCTTGAGTCTGTATACTGTCTGGCATGTGCCCGCTGGGTGTGGCTGAAATGCCTCTACACTGCAGGGCGGGAAAGTGAAAACTGGGGTCTGGCTACTGCAGAAGAATTTGAGCCTATCCCTCGTTTTTGTCGCCTAATTCTAGCCGTCTATGAGGAAGATCTTCGTAATCCTCTTTGGGCACCCCCCGGAGGTTATGGCCTTAATCCTGATTGGGTTATCTTACGGAAAGACTATGAAGAAACCCTTGGCCGCGTTCCTCCGTACTTTATATATCTTGATCACGATCATTCTGATATAGTCTTAGCAGTTAGGGGACTCAATTTAGCTAAGGAAAATGATTATGCAGTTATGCTCGACAACAAACTTGGGCAGACAAAATTTGACGGTGGGTATGTCCACAATGGGCTGTTGAAGGCAGCAGAGTGGTTGTTTGATACAGAGCGTGAAATATTGAGGGAATTGGTAATGAAACATCCGAATTATACCGTGACATTTACTGGACATTCCCTTGGGGCTGGTGTGGTGGCATTGATGACGCTAGTGGTGCTTCAGAATCTGAGTAAATTAGGAACTGAGAGGAAGAAGATTAGATGCTATGCTACGGCTCCTGCTAGATGCATGTCACTGAATCTGGCTGTGAGGTATGCAGATGTTATCAACTCTGTTGTACTTCAGGTTAGATTATGAGATTCCATTCTAGACATTTGCTTTTTGTTCCTCGTAAAATAGTGGATATTTGCGCGATTTAATTCATTGCCTATGTTTTCTGGTGAAAATTAGCCAAAAGGCCGGCCACATAAATTGAATCAATGTTTTTCCCAGGGATTAGTATGCTTTTTGCCGATGGGTGATTATAGGTCCTCAGTGTTCTAATGTGGTTGTTATAATGAACCAGGATGATTTCTTACCTCGGATAACAACTGCTTTGGATAACTTGTTCAAATCACTTTTCTGGTAAAACATAGTACGTTTTTTTTTCGAACTTTCTTGCATTTGATAATTCATTGCAATGTATTACTGATATAATTTAGATTGTACCTGTGTTATCCTGCTGATATTCTAAATGAGGTTGCTTTCCTTCGTCTGCACAGTTTGCCATGTTTTCTTTGCACAATGTGCTTGAAGGAGACATGCACACTGGAACAGAAGATGCTTACTGATCCAAAGAGATTATATGCACCTGGCCGTCTCTATCACATTGTTGAACGAAAGCCCTTCAGGTATTTTAGGATGTTATGATATTTCAATTTCATTGCATTTCGATTGTGTTGTTAGATTTCAAATTGCATCGGCATGATGTGTTAACTGCTGGGGTAGGAATAGATTGAATTACGGGCTCTGATTGGGAGCTTACTGGTTGCAGATTTGAAAGGTTTCCGCCAGTGGTGAAAACAGCGGTTCCTGTGGATGGGCGGTTTGAGCACATAGTTCTTTCTTGCAATGTTACTTCTGACCATGCCATAATTTGGATAGAGAGAGAAGCACAAAAGGCTTTTGATGTTAGTCCTTAAATCCCCCATTACGTTTCAAATTTCTTTAAGATTTAATGATAATCCCACCTAGATCTGAGATTCGTGTCCTTGTGGTTGTAACGATATATTTGTTTTTCCCATGATATCAGTTAATGGTTGAGAACGACAGAATTATGGAAGTTCCGGCAAAGCAGAGGATGGAGCGACAAGTTTCCCTTGTTCGTGAACACAGCCAGGAGCACAAGGCAGCTCTTCGGAGAGCTGTAGCTTTGAATATCCCACATGCCTACTCTGATTCGCAGTATGGCACGTTTGCATTCATTGAAACTTTAGAGGGGGAGAATTCTGGAGGATTGAGTGGGGGAACTCCTTGTAAGGCATCATTCAAGAAAAGGAGGGAAAGCTGGGATAATTTCGTCGAGCGGCTTTTCGATGTTGATGAGTCCGGTGACATGGTGTTCAAGAAGTAATAACCACGCCGAGAAAAGTAATTCTTTGATTCTTGTGAAGCATCCTCCATTGGGAAGTTCATGATTGTGTTTAGATTGATGTTGGTGAGAGGGAATGAGAGGCAGTACATGAAAGTGAAGCTGTGCATAAAACGTTGCGCTGCCATGTCATCGCTGATCGTATAAAAACCTCAATGATTATATTGAAGTCATCTGTGCTCAAGATATTGTTGATTGCCTTTCATTGCAAATATCATAAGGGAGGCCGGCGGCCAATGGCTGCTAATGGTGGAGAAAGATGCAATTTCTGCAAGCAATGTTTTCTAAAAGCTATGAGGATTTTACATTTAAATTACTTTTACATATCAATCGCGATCGCTGTTCGAGTACAAAATAGTTGAATCTCGTCGTTAGCCGCTGTCCTATCGACTAGTAAATTTTCATTTTTCCTCTAAGAAAAGAAGATAATACACTAAACTGGACAACCCTCTTCATTCAAGAGGAATTAATAAAGCACTATCTGGGGATACTTCATTCTACTTGCTATATACTTGGTCAACAACAGCTTCCCCTGCAGTGAAATTCATAGTTACAACTCATGCCGAATCCAGAAAACACGCGGCGACAAATATGTGAACTGATTCTGATTTTTATGTATTTTCGTTCTCCAATGTGGAGCAGTGTTTATATACGGAGATACTGTTGTTGGCATTTTCCATATTCTGGTACTAGATCAATAACGCATCAAATTGAATCAACAATAAAGCAGTGGTAAAGGCTGTCTTACCGTGCATTCTCTTAACGAATCGTTCAAATTCCATGAAGTTGTCTCTTTCCATTAGAAGTGGACTGAGCCTAAGGTAGGTAAAAGATGACAAATGCCTTCCATCTGGATCAGTCAAGGGCTTGGCATTATCCAATATCTTGTTGTAGCTGATACGATCATGACAAGCAAGAGCGTTCTCACTAGAAACCGGTAAGCAAACATCCCACGCAGCATTCAGCACCTGAAATAGGAGTTTACAATGTTAAATGTCCAAAGATTTCACAACGTAAATGCATATACTTTTCAATTTAGGGTACTATTTTTCGCAATGAATCCCAGTGAATTCCAATACAGACGGATTCTTAAGTGCTGAAGCTTGGATCAGAAAAGGCCACTTTAGAGTACACAAGGAGGTTTCAGATAAATTTGATGCTTACTTGCCAAAATAAACCCTCAGAATCTCCCAGTGCCTCTTTGAAATCTTCATGCTGGTCTAACATGTGCAATTCAGTACATGCTAAGCTTAAATTAGCTTCATGCTTCTTTAGCATCGTCACAATTGGAGAATAACCATCACGGTTGCATGGATTATAGAAGCCCGCAGTCAACTCAGCCGCATGACTGACCGTCTTGTACCACCAGTGAAGACCTGATAGCTGCTTAACAATTAAAATATAGCAAACTGACCGATCAATCCATAACTAGCCAAATTACTTCTAAGGTTGCAAAACTTTCAACACTCAACAATATTAGGCCTGCATAACAATCTTCATATGTTCTAGATTAAAACTTGAAACTTCAAATTCAACATGGATGGTTTTGCCTTCGGTATTATTTGAATTCTTTGGCCACATCTTCAAAGTAAGCTCCTAATTCATTTTTCTATGGATTTTATCTTTTTCAAATATCAGATTTCAAAAATTCATCTTTCGTGTATGTTCAAAATGATTGAAGCTAACTCACCTTTGCAGCAATGCAGGTTCCGTTGAAAGTTAACTTTGCTAGAGAAAGCACCCGATCACCATGATCAACTAAAACTCGAGAGTACCAATTAAGGAAGAACCTGCCATAGTAGCCATCATAATCACCGCCTTCGGAAAAGAAACCGGTATCATTTGGCTGGGAATTATAAGAACCTGCATTATCTGGACCTCTACCCCAGAAGGAGTGTCCCCTTGCTTCTGCAGCCTTCCTCAAACTTTTCAGCAAATACTGATCATCACACTGCAATTTTTTAAACGCTCAGGCTGAGGAAATACAGACTCATTCACTTGTAAACTGATATAACATTATTCAGCAAGTTACCTGAAATTCACCGACACCGGGATATCGCCAACCATGCTTTACAGGACAAGATGGGTATCGCAATTCCCCACAAGGACCTAGTCCAACTTGAATCATGGAGATGCTACCATTTTTAAAGTACTCGTCAAACTCTACACGGAAGCTTCTCATGCAGCCAAAGTATACCTATATCAGTTAAAAATTAGCATTTTGACACCGAGTATATAGGACTACCCTTAAAAAATGGTACAATAATACTGAACGGCATTCTGTATATGGCATTAATGAAGTTTTCCACAGAAAAAGAAATATATAGATTAATAGGTGCTAATGGTTTGACATACAAAGAGTTCAATTACCACCAATTTTAATTGCAAGCAGAAAGATTAAGGTATCATTCATCATATATGACTGCAATACCTCAACAGCCGTCCGGCCTCTTAAAACTCGTTCCTTGTCAATTCCCCATGAAAGGCATTCAGGATTACTTCTTCCCTCTCTATCAGTGAAAAATATGTCAGGGTTGCTTCTACCAATTTCAGCCACCCAATGAGGCAGTGGAATACATAAATCATCACCAACATTGCCTCCACATTCATGAAATGACATGACAACCTTAAATACAGAAGTTGCCCGTCAGACCCACAATAAATTTCAGACGAACTAACAAAACAAACCACGCCCAAATGATTACATAATCTCCAGACTTAGAGAGTGAATTCAGAGCATGAAAGGGAAGTGAGTTCCTTGGTTCCCACATTATAGAGAGAAAATCTCAAAACTTTGCCAAGCATTACAGGAAAACCATAGAAAGAATAAAAATGATAACAAAGATGGCAAAACAATTAACCACATGTGTTGTTTATAAGCCCACTGAAAAAGCTCTGCAAGTGAAAAAACATATATAAAACAGACCTGTAGCTTCAGCTTAAGCTCGCGCACCATTTGAAAGAGCCTCTTGTATCCATTCCAATTATACTCCTGTGGAGCATGTCCCTCTACTATTCCCCACCAGCAATCAACCATAACGCCATCTACATTAACTGATTTCAATACCCTTAGCTGCTTTAGTAGACCATCTGGATCAACCAGCTCACACTTCATGTTAATAACACCTAGCTGCCACCAAATAAAAGACATGATAAAGAGCATACAGATTAGAGACCAAGCTTAAAAACAACTGTTATTTATGAAGCAAAACTTGAACTCCTTGACATGGCAGCCTCTAATGCAAGATATAGAGTAGAAAAGTAAACATATTAAAAAACAGAAAACCAACAATTTAACTTGCATAGTAAAAGAATATTAGTAAAGTTACAGAACTCACTGGTAGCATTACATAAACCGGAATGTACGCAGTGCTGGAGAAATCACGTTCTTGTAACTTCAGGGGTATGTCAACAATCTACGAAAAAGAATTAATGTGCATTGAAGGACGTGACACAGCCCAACTTAGGAAGCAATAACTTACCATTCAAACTATTCATTACTACAAATTAGATGAACAATATGAAAAATAGTATTTCACTACTTATGGGGTCCTAGTAAATTGCAATGCAGCTATAAGCATAAATGAAGACAGTATAAATGCAGAATCGTGCCTCCATACATTTGCTAACAAAGGCTACTGTTCTTTGTGCTATTTAACCCATGATGTGATATGTGATAACAAAATTAACCAAGATGGTACAAAGAATGACCATATAAGAGAATTCAACACCTGCATACCAAAAGATATATCTGGAAACGCATACCACCACTGAAGTCTCAACAACAAATACATCACACATGATGCCATGCATGACGGAACACACAAAGCATGATGATATGGAATAAAACAATTTTGTGATGTTTTATATTTTGGTAGGCATAGAAACATAGACTGTTGAATTTCTCGTCCTAGTACCTGTTTGTAGCCAACATTATCCAAGGAGCCACCACTAAGAGGATGACTCTCTGTTTGACCTGCTCCATCTCCAACAATGGATGAACCTTGGGACTGAGCGCTTGAGGGGAGAACATAAGGCGATAAACTAGGCAAATAAACACCTTTGGTGTTGGAAGCATTAAGCTCCCCAGGGCTCTGATAGCCAGAAGTAACTCCTTTAAGGGAAGCAGGAGTACGTGGGGATACTATTTGGGATGATGATGAAGTCACTGCTGCAGAATTGACACCAGCCAGCCTTGGGCCCTGTAAAAGTTCAATATAAACATTTTGGATTTTTTCAGAAATTTGTTAGAAATGAGAATCACAATAAAATGCATTGAATGTCATCCACAGCCACATTAAGGAGGCCAAAACCAAACATGCACTCATGATCTAAGATCAGCCAGTGCATGACCCACATGAAGATCAATTTTTTCTTTTTATAGGAAGAAATCAATTTTAAACATTTCAGCGAACAAGTATGACATTAAAATCAACCAAATATGCAGTCATGTTCATAAATTTAAAAAATAAAAAAGCAAAAAAAAAATATTCAAAATAGGATGAACAAGCTTCTTCCTTGCGAGAGAAGTACCTGAGATTTTGAAGGAAATGTTGTTCCATCTGGAAGAACAACCCAGCCAGCTTCCCTAGCCAAAGCTGCAACTACATCATTGATATCAGCCCTAACTCTAAGATTATAATTTCCATGCCTCCGTAGCCCTGCTAAGATCCTCGCCGTGATTGCCCTGCGCTGCCGTTCTCTTAACTTGGTTCTCTCCTTCTCTTCCAGGGGTCTACACCTCCTAGCTCCTCCCCCTCCGGGAGTCCCCACTTGTTCTTGAAATTGATGATGCTGTTGTAAACGGTTATTATTATTACTTATTGTTGGCATTTCTCCATCAACCCCTGCCATCATTTGGGAGGCATCAACATGCTTCTCTCCATCTTCATCATCGCCACTGTCCTCTTCTTTCACATCCATCTCCATTTCTTCGTCATCATCTTCTTCACTTGTGATTAACTTCTGAAGACCCGTTTCCATAATTTATCCTACGCTTTAAACCTCCTGATTATCTTAGCTACTTGATCCTTCTATCATGAATGTAGAAACCATCACTGCTTAATTTCCCACATAACCACTTGAAGGAGTAGATTTTTCTCAACAATGCAGATACGATCCTGCTCAATTTTCTGTTAAAAATCGAAACTCTGAAAATTAGACATATCTCACATTAATAATTCTAGTATAGTTCAAAATTACAGAGACAAAGAACCTACTAAATTGATTGTTTACACCTATTTGGCTCTAATGAGGTTGACTTCTGCTCAAATTTTCTCAGCAGCCAAACAAGGCGCTTATTCTCTATTACTTTCCACACAAGTCACATACGAGAAAGCTTTTAAATTTTCTCAGAAGCCAAACATGACCACAAAGTAAACTTTTCCTTGTAGTGAACTAAATTACCTCCTAAAACCAGCTGGAACGGCCGAATTCTAGCAATTGACTCCACCTTGGCCGGAATTATCCATTTTCTCCTCGAATTCCACCTCATCGCCCTCACTCAGAGCTCCCACTCCCATTTTCCACCCGATCCATCTTCTATTCCCCCTTTCAGAAGCCCTAGCTGCTTCACCGGAATCCGTGCCCGAATTTTCCGGCGGCCGGAAATAAATAGTACGGCGTCGTCTCACGAGGAGTAGGGCGGGGCTCCGAAGGGAAAGACGGAGGGAGGGGGTCGGAGACGGGCGGCTCGGGTCGGGCGGGAGAGGGATGGGGAAGGAGAAGCGTGCGAGCATGCGAGGAGGGGGCGCTCACGCTCGGGGGATTGCCACGCGTGCGAGGTGCGAGCGTGTTTGGGGGAATTTGCTGGCACGAACGAGGCGTGTGGGCGTGCACTATGTGTGTGAGGTGAGCGAGTGAAACCATGCGGAACACGTGTGCGTCTCACGGTTCGGGCGTGAGTTGTGGCACGTGTCGCACGTGCTGAGAGCGTGGACTTGGGTAGATCAAGAGCACGAGATATGGGTCCTGATGTGTGGTGGTGGATCACGTGAACTTTGTGTCTTTGCGCACTTGCACATCCTTTGGAAATATTGCCTGAATTATATTTCTTCTTTGTATTTTAAATACCTTCTACAGTGATAAATAAGTTATTGGGCATTCTTTTAAAGGAAAACTAATGAAAATGATTTGAAAACTTTGAATTTTAACAATAAAAACAAAATAAAAAGTAAAATGAATAGTACCATGTTTGACTTTTTAGTGTAAAAATGTGATTTTTTGTTAAAGTGAACAGTACCGTAGCTTTTCGTTAAAACTCCCTTCTTTTAATGGTTTCAATACCTGCGGATTATTAACATTATTTTTTTTGGAGAATTTTAATAAATTCCAAAATTCATTTCGTCATCCCGTAGCGACAACCGTCTTTTTAATTGGTATTGTAGTAGCCCTTTGGTTGGGTATTGCAAGATAGTTGCAACTTCCAAGACATGTCGTGAAAATGAATGTTAAAGACTCTTCCGCTATTTACTTGTAGCGAACAATTATAAGTCGTCGATAATAATGTTGGAGGATGAAGACGGATGATTGTCATTTTTGAAAACTAATGTCGTGAAAGTGAATGTTAATGACTCTCTGGTGTTTACTTGTCACGAACAATTATCAATCGTTAATTATAATGTTTTGAGGATGAAGATAGATGATTGTCATTTTTGAAAACTAATGTCGTGAAAGTGAACAATCATCAGTCGTTGATTATAATGTTTAAGGAGGAGGACAGACGATGGTCACTTTGAAAAATAAGAGGAAATTGTAGTCTTGATCCCTTAACTAAAAATCCATGACCACTATTCTCTTAATTCATCAAAATGAGTATCTATGGTCATTTGCGTCAACTCTGTTAAAACTTTCATCAAAATGAGTCATGTGTCACACACATGAGGCTGAATGAAGGGGCAAATATAGAAAACCAAATGAAAAAAAATTGTAGCAATGGTCCCTCAATTTTAACCCAATTTGAGAAATGGTTCCTCCACTTTAACCAATTGGAGCAACACGGTTCCTAAACTTTAACTCACTCGTAGCAATAGTCCTTCCAACATGAGTCATTTTGACTTAATTCTGATGGAGTTGACGAAAAGTACTATAACTGCACGTTTTGATGAGTTAAGGGACCAATGTTTATGAATTTTTAGTTAAGGAACCATTGCTACAATTTTCTTGAAAAATAATTTAGAAAACGAATGAAAAATAACTATTTTGAAGTGTTAAGAACAATTATGCTCATCAAATGTTAGAAGAAACTATTATTGATATTCTAAAAATCTAATTTTGCACTCATCGCAAGAATATTTTTCTTTTTAATATAAAAAATTTATAGTGCATTATTAAATTTTTAGAGTGCTAATAATAATTCTCTTGTTAAATATAACGCCTTAAACTGGGAGATATAATAATTAAGTTTTAGGATGATTAGCATTTATCCTTCCCTTTGTTATATGGCATTTTAGGATGGAAGATTATTACTTGTAGATCATGATGTGCTATGGTTATGATTTTGAATCTTGTTAGAATTATTTTGTTTTCTTTACATTTCTAAATTGATTTAGGGCTCGTTTGGTTGTGCGATGACTGAAAGTGCTTTTAGAGAAAATATTTTTAGGTTCTAAAAGCACTCTAAGTGTCTTCTACAAGAAGCATTAATTATGTGCTTCTTCCAGGAAACACTTCAAGTGTTTTTCCAAGATTTACTAGTATCTTTACTGGATTGTTTCCAAAAATATTTTCACCAAAAAAGCTTTCAGTCATTTTAAAAACACATCCAAACAAGCTCTTGAGTTTCAGTTATGTAAATCGGCTTATCAGCCCATGATTTCCTTTTATGAACATTTATAGTCTTGACTCAGTCATGAAATGGTTACACTTAGTTTTTTGCTTTAGTTAATATTTTATTTCCACTTACAAACTTAGGCAAACACACTTTTTACAATTGATTCCAAGTCCTCGTTCAATCGAAGCATAAGAAAAAACTTAATTGAACCATAATCTCACTAGATGTATCTTCGTTTTGGTTAAGTTAGATTTAAGCGCAAACCAACCTTATTCCTAAGTAAACACCAACTATCTACTGTCACGCCTATTTTCTCTTTCTCTTGAGCCATCCAGTGGCAACGAGACCGAAAGCAACACTCAGAGCAAACCATGTGTTGAACCTAGTCAGGCTCTAATTGAGTTTTGACACCAACACCTTGAATGGATTTGTAATCCTCTTTACCTACTTGGGTTGAGTGCTTTGTAATCTTCCAAGAATCTTTCAATTCTTAATTCATTCAGCTTTTCCTTTTCCATGAGCGCCATATACCCGATATGCTGCAGTTGCCAGTAGCACAAGAAACAAAGAACCCAGGATTCCACCACTTGTAGCCAATCTTTTGCACATATATGTTGCCTTGCCTGTAAGATACAAAATCAGAGTACAGTCACTAATATTCTCATGATAATTGGTTAAATCCAGAGGAGCAACTTTTTGCATTTCTGGACTTTTATTCTAATTCACATGAAATCCAGGACAGGATGAAGTGTTTTCCTTTGTAATTGAGGATCAATAATGTAAGTTCCCAAAAACATACAAAAAAAAAAAAAAGAAAAGAAAAGAAAAAAAGGATCAATAATGTAATGTTCTGTGTATATCTTTATCCATATAACATTGTATCATTAGCTATCGTAACAGTGCACCGTTACATTTAAGTCCCTCTTTTATTACGCAAGTCAGTCCTACCATTGACCGACTGCCCGACATCATGGGCCTGGCTTTAACTTAGCATGACTTTTCCTCTTGAATATTTTTCAATATTGCAGCTTCACGGAGGGTGCTCTAGCCTCTAGCTCACGGCCAATGATTAGATTACTAATTAACATCAATTGGAGGTCCTACCACTTAGAAAGTTGACTTCTTTCTTTAATTGTCATAGTTATGTAGAATTTTCATCTCTTATTCTAATTGCGAACTTACATTCTCATTTCTCCCAAGACTTGAAAGTAAACACAAGAATATGACTTTTCTCCTAAAAATTCCACCCCTTATTTCAACTGGGAACTTGCACTCCCATTCCCTTGACGACTTCAAAGTAAACACAAGAATAAGCTTTTCTCCTAAAAATTTCATCCCTTATTCCATTTGCAAACTTGTACACTCATTCCCCTAAAGACTTGAAAGTAAATACAAGAAAATGACTTTTCACCCAAAAATTTCATCTCGCATTCCCATTGCAAACTTGCACTCTCATTCTTCTAAAGACTTGAAAGTAAACACAAGAATATGATTTTTCTCCAAAATTTTAGTCTCTTATTCCAATACGTACTTGCACTCTCATTCTCCTAGAGACTGGTTGAAAGTAAACACAGGAATATGACTTTTCACCTAAAAATTTCCTCCCTTATTCCGAGAACTTGCACTCTCATTCTCTAAAGACTTGAAAGTAAACACTATATGACTTTTCACCTAAAAATTTCATCCCTTATTCCAATTGCGTACGTGCACTCTCATTCCCCCAAAAGACTTGGAAAGTAAACACAATAATATGACTTTCCTCCTAAAATTTTCATCTCTTATTCCAATTGCGAACTTGCGTTGTCATTCCCCTAAAGACTTAAAAGTAAACACATGAATATAACTTCTCCTAAAAATTTCATCCCTTATTCGCTTTACGAACTTGCACTCTCATTCCTCTAAAGACTTCAAAGTAAACACAAAAATATTACTTGGGTGGTGCTATCCACACATTCATTTTTACCTATACATGTCTTATTAATTTATTTATGTCAATTGATTTTTTTCAAATTATTTAATTTAAAAACCGAAAATTGAGAAGGCTATAGCACCACCTTTACCTCTGCACTTCTAATTAATTTATTTATATCATTTGATTTTTTTTCAAATTATTTCATCTAAAAGCCGAAAATTGGGAAGGCTATAGAACCACCCCCCGCCTAATAAGTATTGTGTCAATGAGTCCCGCTTAATGAGGTTTTCATGCTTTTTCCTAAATTATTTCAACTTTTTTTTTTTGGCTTCTAATGAATGTCTCCCTCTAAGATCGTTCTTCGTATTTAGATGCATCAATCAACATCCACATTCTTTTAAATAAATAAATAGTTGATTTGTTCAACGGAAAATGATTTTTTTTTTCTTATTGTTGTCTTTTGACACTCCTTTGGGTAGCTAAAAATAAATAAATCTTTTGACACTATATTAATTTATTCAATTTAATGGCAAAAAAAAAAAAAAATTAAAAACAATAATACATGATATCAATTATTGTTTTTTAGTCTTAATTCAAGTATGTGATAGAGGAGGCTCATCCTTGGTTGTCGTCTCATCTCCAATTTGATGTACTGCTTTGGTGGAATAAAAAAGTGTATAAGAGGAACAAAAATGGTGTGCGACAGTCGGAATCTCTTTTCAAAACGTTGAAATTTCTTTTATTTAACTTTTACAACTCATTCTCATTTTTTCTTAGAAACTTAATAAAAAAAGAATGATAATGCTAAGAAGGTTAAATATTTAGATTAAATTTTAGTATTAATTCAATTTACATGTGACAGAGGAAGCTCATCCTTAGTTGTGGCCTCATCTCCAATTTGATGCACTGTTTTGGTGGAATAAAAGGAGGTAGATTGTCTGTCCTTCCGTTTCCATACTCTTCTTATGCCCTTTTGTTTGTACGGTCATGTTTAAGCCACATCAACATTTTATATTCCTATTACTTTTTGTTTTATTATTTCTATAAAAAATTAATATAAAATGTTGACGTGGCTTAACCGTGACCACACATCACAGGAGGGCATGGGAAGAGTATAGAAATGGGAGGGCAGACAATACACCTCTGGAATAAAAAGTGTAGAAGAGGAACAAAAATGGTGTGTGAAAGTCCCAATCCATTTCCAGATCGTTGAAATTTCTTTTGCTCAACCTTTTTTTTTTTTAATTTGCCATTTAGTACTATGGTATAGTAGTATTCTTTTCATTGGTAAGTGAACCACTTGTTAGGCCATTGTGAGGCTAAC